TCCTCTTGGCTTTCGTAAACTCCAACAGAGCCGATGGAGCTGCGGGGAAAGCAAGAGCATGTCACCACCCAGGGTCCTGTCACACAACCTGTGCCACGACTGGCAGCTGGGCACTGAAAAGAGATCTGGTTCTTAGACTCCAATAAGAGACGAAGGAAATGTGGGGAGGGATTTCAGTTCCGGCTCTGGTACCATGTGGTTGTGTGGCCTTGGTAAAGGGTGACACAACTTGCCTGGGCCTCAGTGTCCTTCAGCTGTATAGTAAGGGGTGGAAGGCAATGTGCTCATGGCTCCTTCTGGTTCTGAGGGTCCAGGAACCTGTGCTCTTTAGGGTGAGAGAAGCCACCTGCCAGCCCTGGACTGTTCCTTCCGGTGGAGGAGGCCCTCTTACCAGATGAATGGGACAGGGTAGACCCAGGAGCTGCTTTCCTTCCAGAAGCCCCTCCTGGCTGGCAGAGATGAGCACTAACTCAGTCCATGAGAGGCTTTACCTGGTTTACCTGGTTAACCTGGCCCTGGCCGAGCTCAGTTGCTCGAGCTCAATGAGGCATTTGTAGATGCAGAAGGGGGAGCATTCCCTCCCTCCTGGTCTGAAATTTCATTTTCTTCCTGAAAACATATATGGAAACTTTGAGAAGTAACAAAATCCAGCCAATTGTTGTTGCCTTTTTTTTTAAGGGTTGTAGTCAGCAGAAGCACAACTAAATCAACATTCCTCCAAGTCTATCCTGGAATAGATTTTAATCTATCATACCAACCTCGGTATATTTAAATCTCAACCCACCTCCCCACCCCCCAACATATGGCAGGGATGGGCTGGGCCCCCTCCCCAGCCAGCCCACTCCAAGAGCCACCCAAGCCCCACCTCTCAGCTAAGGTGTTGGAACTACACTTCTGCTATATTAGCGACAGAGACTGGGTTTAGCTTTTAACTGCTTCCTGATGATGCCATATGTATGTATTTGCCTTCCCAATTACACCGTCAGCCCTCTGCGGATGAGGTCCTGGGTGCGCTGGAAGAGTCTGGATTTACCTGCCCTCCCCTCACTCCACCCCCACGCAGTGGTAAGCAGAGGACATGGTCCAGTGCCTGGACATTAACACTGATCCACAAACGCTAATTCTCCTCTTCATCTCCCCCTCCCCTGTCGGAAGCTACCTTGTGTTCTCCAGAGCGCCTGGTCTACTGCTAGGCAGATGGGAAACACCCAACAAGTACTTGGCTACCTCAGAAGCAGGCAAAATCAAAAAAGGTGAGAGTAAGAGAAGGGAAGAAAAGAAAGCAATCTAAATGCTAAAACAGGAAATTAATTCCCTTTCCAGCCGCACCCCACCCCCACCCGCCCTTTCTCAAGGTGCTACAGCAGGGAAGTCTCCCTTGTGGCACGCCTGCTGCCCCCCACCCCCAACCTGATTGTTCTCCGCATTGGCTCCACCCCTCTTCCAGCTGGGCTCTATATGCAAGAGAGGAAGGAATCAAATGGAAATTACTAAGCAGCAAGCGTGGCCAGAGGGAAAGCCCAAGGGTGAGCTGGAGGACACTGAGGCAGTCTTCCAAGTTCATGGCTTTTACTCAAACCCCAGGCAAAGGAGCAAGAAAGGTACATAGTTCTTACAGACCCTTCTTCCTTCTGAGCTCCTTCAGAAACTTTGGACACCCAGGACCCTCCTGCTGCTTTCTAGCTCAGCCAGGTTCCTGACCTGCAGAGCCTACTGGCCCGGCCAAAGGAGGTGACGTGGTGGAGCTAGGTTGGAGCAAAGATGTGCCACTTACTAGTTTTGATACCTTGGACAAGGGACTTAACTTCTCTGACCCCAGGTTTTCTAATATTCCAACTGGGGTGACTGACAACTGTCTCCTGGAGGTAGGAAATGGCTGTGCCAGAAGAGGCTAAGAGTCGGCCACAGGCAGCTGCCTGAATTACTGACCCCTCCCGCTTCCTGTTGGCTTTAATTCTCTCTGGGTGGGTGGCAGCTGGGACTAGCCTGATTACATTAATTCATACTGAGGTTACGGAACTTAACACTTCTAAGGAAAATTTATATTTTAAAAGACAAACTTCTCATTCTAAGTAAATACCTGATTGGCGGAAGACTGTTGTAAAGTCTTCTAGTTTAGTTTTTAAGGCAGAGCTCTTGCTGTGTTACTTGCCTACATCTGATGCATCCTCCACGCGCCTGGCCCCCAGCCCTCCCACTTTCAAAAAGAATGTGGGCATTCAGCCACTTTTCTCCAAAGCTGGCAGCTCACTGGGATGCGGGACTATTGGTTGACCCCTGACCATTCTAATGGCAGCACTTACGTGTTTATCCAGAATTGGGTCTGTGAATAAGGAGATCCCCAGGATGGTGAAAAGACTGACTATGAAGAGGAATATGGCAAAATAGAGGTATTGTATGCTGCAGATGATCATAGGGCCCTCGTTGTTTCCTGAGCAGGGCTGGGGACAGTAGACAAACTCAGACACCATCCGAAGCAAGCCAATCAGGAATCCACTTGTCAGCCCCCAGAAGGCGCCCTGCCAAAGGAGGAGCCCCGAGAGTTGTTACATGAGAGGAAGACAGGTGATGAGACAAACCATCTTTAGCCTCACGTGACTGGTTGAATTCTAAAGTTAACCTTGTCATAATAACAGCTACAAATACCTTGCAGAAGCAGAGTGTGAGCACCAGTGCAGAAATACCTTCTTGGGCTGAACAAAGACCTGAGACACCTGTACACTCTTTTATGTCAATCAGAGAACTTAAACATTGGAAACACTTTTAGGTTAGATCATGAATAGGCACCTCAAATGTAATGTGTCCAAAAAGGCCCCAGACCTCTCTATCACTGTGAAGGGCACCTCCATCTCCCCGTCATCCCTGTTTTTTTTTTACTTTCCATCCTGCCCTACCACCAACCCATCAGCAAATCCTGATGGCTTGCCCTCTAAAATGTATCTGGAATCCAATCACTTCCCATCTTCTCTATGGATACCGCCTGAATCCATAACCACCATCTTTTCTCACCAAAGTGGTCTCCCTCTCCAGCTTGCCCACTGTTTCCATGGACGCCAGAGTGATCTCTTCAAAGTATATATTAGAGAATGCCATGCCTCTGCTTAAACTCTCCAATGGCTTCTCACGGTCCACCATCACAATCAAATCGTACTCACTCTTCAACTGACTCTGTTTGGCTCTGCCACTCTCCCCTTGGTCATTCCACTTTGGCCACTGTGTGTGACCTTCCTGCATGTCGAAACTGTCCACTTTGCTCTTGGCTCAGGCCTTTGTACTTGTCCTTGTCTCTGTTTGGGTCCTTCCCTAGATCTTAATATTTCTGGCTCATCCCCCACGGTTCAGATTCAAGGTCACTGTCTCAGAAGAAGTCTTTTCCTACCACCTTGGCTAATGTCTTTGTATCCTCTACCCACCTCCAGCACCTGCCCTGCCACCCTCCATCATCCTTTTTTATCTTTTAACCCATTTCCCATTTTTCTTTTAAAGTGCAGCTTGCTGCCAGGGTTAATTTAATTTTACATAAACATGCTCTTTGAGGCTGAAGCAAATCTGACTGGTTTTCAATGTGAAAATAAAATATAAAAACTGTTCTTGGAGTTATGTCTAAACAGAACTTGTCTCTAATCCTAATGTGACAGAAACGTATATGACGATCAGTATGGTAAATTTCAAAGCACGGAACTACACAAAGCAGAACATATAGGATTTGACATTTTCAGCCACCGAAAATTACATTTTGTAAATAGAAACACCACTACTAAAAACAGAATGCTATCGATAGAATGATGTCATTTGTTTCGAAAGACTATTGATATACTGGAGCGATGCGAAAATAATAATAAAAGTGAGATATTTTGTGGCAAACTTTGGGGGTAAAGTTGGGACTGTAATTCGTGAGTTATCTCAGGGTAACTGCTGCAGCTGAAAGCACTGCTGGTGAGTATACTTGGGGCAAATGGGAAATGGGTTAAACAGCACTGCACCACTATCAGAAATCTGTGTATTCACTGGGCAAAATCTGTCTCCTCCAATTAGACTATCCACTCTTTAGGAATGAGGACTTCCTTCTGGCTCTGCAGCTGTATCCGGAGCCTGTTTCAGGTGCGGCTGAATGTTGGAGGAGACAGAGGTTACTGTATGTGAGCAAATATCTCTGGAGAGAGTTCAAAGTGAAAGCCAGGTGGATGATCTGCAGGAACCATTTATTGAAGGAGATGTATAGAAAGGGAAGATCTAGAAACAGAAGGGTAGCAAAAGCCAGATGAGCATGCCATCTGAATCAGGGTCAGAGAGAGGGCCTGGAGAAGTTCTCTAGGTTGAAGAGGGCACCCACAATATGCCTGTAACCTTGGATCAGTGGTAGCAGGAGGGCCACTGCCCAGATCCCCAGTTTTCCTTGCTGATAGGCCTTGATACCTTAAGTGGGTGTCCAAGGTAAGAGGCAGATTCTTCTGAATGCCTGCCCCTCTTATCCATTCCCTTCCCAGGAGGGCAAAGGGAAGAAGCTCTGGCATTCCCAAGGCCTAGCCGCTCTCCACATTATCGGTGCTAAATTGAGTCCTGATGAGGTGGGCAGAACAGGGAGCACTAGCAGGTTCGTGTAGAGGACAGAACACCTGAAATGAGCCTGGGAGGAAGCATCAACCAGGTGGTGGAGGAAAAAGTGAACAGTCCGTGCAAATGAAGGGAGGCCAGGGAAGGCACTCAGCATTGCAAATCAGCAGGCGTGGCAGGGGTCTATGGGCTGTGCATGGAGAGGGCAAGGGCTGAGGGGCAGGAAGGGGCCAGATGATGGAGCACTTCAGACACTGTGCTCAAGAACTTGTGCATGGCCCAGCTACTCAGTGCTGTTAGGGGAAACAAGTTAAAATCTGACTCAAATAATAAATGAAAATATTCTGTCAAACAATGATTTCATAGTCTTATTGAAGAAACAATTGAACCATTCATTAGGATCTTTATTTAGTTTGAAATGTGGCTGAATGGTCCTCACTGCAGGGAAGGTGGAAGGAGCCCACGACTGTACATCCTCCTGTGAGTATGAAACCTCTTAGCATGACACATTCATGTACAGAGGCATTAGAAGAATACTTTCCTACAGCCAGATATATGTGAGGGAGGATCATGAACACTTTGCATTGTCTATGACATTATTGAAAGTGGATTACATTGCAAAGGGAGGAAAACAACATCAGAGCTCGCTTTTACCTCACATGCATAAGAGAGGGTGCGAACCTAATCTGCCCAGGAGGAAATCATCTCTCAGAAAGCAAATGATGCAACGTTGTGAATGCCTGAAGCGCAAGAGACCCTCCTAGGGCAACTCTGGCAAAGACAACTACGATATGAAAGCAAGCCCATACACTGTGCCATGTGGTGGCCGTGCCAACACCCACCTACCTGCTCAGTGACTCTCTTGGAAAATATGGCAAGCAGGAAGATGGCAGCAATGGGTGGCACCAGGTAACCCAAGACTGACTGCATGTATTCAAACAGCTGTTCACCATGTGTCACTTCAATAATAGGGATCCAGATGATGGTGGCAGAAAGTAAGAGTATAACAAAAAACCTGTAAATTAAACCAACAGTCAATGGCAATTTGATGAGTTTTTCCCCCTGCTGATAAAATATCTACAAACTATAAACTATTAACTCAATTATCCCTTAGGTTAAATTCAGGTACCCATTCATAAGTTTGGAGCAGAAGAGATAGCCATACTCCTAAACACTAATAGGGCCATATGGTTGCAGACAAAAATCTTTCAACTTCTGAACAAATAAAACTGAGTGTCCGTTTGCCTGTTACTGGATTATGGATAGATTTTTACCATATTTGGAGGTGGGTTTGGGGCAGTCATGCTTAAAATGTATAATACATGGAAAATATTAATTTCTTCAAAGGTGAAACATTTTTAAACATTTCGGACAGATTAGTATGGTACATGATTTTAAAGATTTCAGTAAGTTCAGAAACTTATTGTTTAAATTTTGCTAAAAATGTTAAGGAATTGAGTAGAAGCTCCAAATGTTCATTACCTTTTCTAAGTAAAAAAAAATTTAACGTATACCCAAATATAAAATTACACTAGGTCAAATATCACCCCAAAGATGAATAAATCTTATCAGTTCTGTGTCAACAAAAGCTTAAAAATAATAATCTTGAGAGAGTGAGTATAAGTTAGAAAAGACTAATACCTTGATAGCCAAAGAAGAGGTAAGGAAGTGAGTTCTAGCTCTAGTAATGAGAGACTAGCTGGCATGGGACTAAGCCTCCCACAGATAACAATGATAAATTCTAGATCAAACATAAAAACAAAAACACTGAAGAGTAGCCGAAAACAGGCAGAATCAGGGGAGGGGGGTGGGATTCAATCTCTGAAAGAATGGAACCATACTAGGTGCCACCTACATTTACCTACATTTCCCGAGGCCCTCCGTCGTCTGCATGGTGTGGGGTGGTTGAAAGTGTTTGGGGGAAAATTCCAGAAAGGTGGGAGCCCAGAGCAAGGGGGTCCAAATCTGTGTATAAACCCCACTTAAACCCTTGGCTGACCCCTGAATTATGCACATGGGGGAGAATTTCCAAATAGCCCACAACGAGCAACTGCTGGAAGGCAGAAAAAGATGAGCAAGATTTCAGCTCCTGCCTAGAGCGGAGAAGACAGAAACTGGAGTTTGAATCTCATCAAGCTAGGGGAACTATCTAACCACCTCAGGCTTTTCACTGAAACCCCTGAAAGACCATGCCTTGGACACTATATCCCAGGACTAAGAATTTGCTCTAAGACTAGAGCAAAACTGAAACAGATATCCTAACAAAGTGTAGAACCAGGCTTGCACAAGTTTAAGGTAATCGGCTAGTAAATTATCTGCATTCTCAAACAAAAACCAATACTCTTCAGAGGAATATGACATAGTCTTTACAATATATTATCCATAATGTTCAGTATACAATAAAATTTACCGAGCATGTGAAGAAATAAGAACATGTGACCCATAGTCAAGAAAGAAAGCAATCAATAGAAACTGAACCCAGGGTGGCTTTAGGTATTAAAATGAGCAGATGAGGACTTCGAAGCAGCTATTAAATCTACAATTAAGGACTTAAAGGAAATGATGATTATGAATTAACAGATGAGAAATAATGACGGAAAATTGGAAACTCTAAAACATTTTTAAAAATCAGTATAAATTTCAGAACTAAAAATCCAGTTTAGTTTAGGAAATGAAAATTTCACTTGTTGGTCTTTGAACAGATTGGAAATGGCAGAAGACAGGGCTAATTAACCTAACCGCAGACTGATAGAAATCTAAACAGAAGGACATAGAGAAAAAATTTAAAAAAATAAGCAGAGCTTCAGAGATCCGTGGGACAATATCAAAAGGATTAATGTGTGTAGCATCCCCCCTAAAGAGGAGAGGAGCAGAAAAATATGTAAAGAAATAATGGTAAAAAATATCCCCATTTTGATAGGGGGGATCTAATTCATAGATTCGGAAGCTTAGCAAAACCCAATCAGGATACACACACAAATGAACACCCACGTTCTATAACAAAATTGCTGAAAATTAAAAATTAAGAGAAAATCTCAAAAGCCACAGAAGAAAGGCTACATTAAGTACAGAAAGCAGTACTGTGAATTGTGGCTGACTTCTCATCAGAAACAAGAGGACAGAAGAGAATGGAAGAGCATCTCTAAAGTGGTGAAACAAAAATACTGTCAACCCAGAATTCTACATCCAGCAAAAATATCTTTCAAAAATAAAGATGTAAAACACATTTTCTTATGAAAACAAAGAGAATCGGTTACCGGCAGACTTTCATTATAAGACATGCTGAAGAAAGTTCTTTAGGGTAAAGGGAAATGACATGGATGGAAACTCAAACCCAAAAGAAGGAATAATGAGCACCACGTCGTTGCAGGTGGCAAGATTTCATTCTATTTTATGGCTGGGTTAACATTCTATTGTATATATGTATCATTTCTTTATTCTTTCACCGATTGATGGGCACCCAGCTTGCCTCCATATTTTGGCTATTTTAAATAGTGCTGCAATGAATGTATGAATGTGCATGTCCCTTTGAAGTAGTGTTTTGGGTTTCTTTAGATAAATACCCAGAAGTGGAATTACTGGGCCCTTCTTTGTCTCTTATTATAGCCTTTGTTTTAAAGTCATTCTGTCTGGTATAAATATTGCTACCTCAGCTTTTTTTATTTTTCAAATTTCTTCATTCCATTTTCATGAAGTATCTTTTTCTATCCCTTTACTTTCAGTAGTGCTTTCAATCTGAATTGAATCTCTTGTAGGCAGCATCTGTAAGGGTTTTCTTTTATCCATTCCGCCACCCTATGTCTTTTGATTGGAGGATTTACTTCATTTACATTTAAAGTAATTGCTGATAAGATGCAGTTATTGCCATTTTATTATTCGTATTTTTTATCTTTTATCCCCTTCTTCTTAAGGAAGTCCCTTTAACCTTTCTTGTAACACTGGTTTGGTGGTGATGAACTCTTTAGCTTTTTCTTGTCTGGGAAGGTCTTTATCTGTTCTTTGATTCTAAATGATAGCTTTGCTGGGTAGAGCAATCTTGGTTGTAGGTCCTAGTTTTTCATCACTTTGAATATTTCTTGCTAATCCCTTCTGGCCTGCAAAGTTTCTGTTGAGAAATCAGCTGACAGTCTTTTGGGAACTCCCTCGTAGGTAACTAATTGCTTTCCTCTTGTTGCTTTTAAGATTCTTTGACTTTAACCTCTGGCATTTTAATTATGACATGTCATGGTATGGGCCTCTCTGGGTTCACCTTGTTTGAGACTCTCTGCATTTCCTAGGCTTGTACATCTATTTCCTTTGCCACATTGGGGAATTTTTCCATCATTATTTCTTCAAATAGGTGTTCAATTCCTTGCTCTCTCTCTTCTCCTTCTGGCACCCTTATGATGTGAATGTTGGTATGCTGGATGTTGTCCCAGAAGCCACTTAAACTGTCCTCATTTTTTGGATTATTTTTTTCTTGTTGCTGTTCTGACTGGGTGTTTTCTGCTACCTTGTCTATCAAATCACTGATTCAATCTTCTGTATCAGCTGATCTACCGTTGATTCCCTCTAATGTATTCTTAATTTTAGTTGTTGTATTGTTCATTTCTGACTGGTTCATTTTTATGTTTTTTATTTCCATTTTTATGTTTCCTAGCTCTTTGTTGAAGTTCTCACTGAGACCATTGAGCATCCTTATAACCAATGTTTTGAACTCTGCATCTGATAGGTTGCTTGTCTCCATTTTGCTTAGTTCTTTTTCTAGAGCTATGTTCTATTTTTTAATTTGGGACATGCTTCTTTATCTCCCTACTTTGGTTACCTGTTTGTTTCTATGTATTGGGTAAAGCAGCTATGTCTCCCAATCTTCGTAGAGGGGCCTTATGTAGTAAGTGCCTTGGAGGCCCAGTGGTGCAGTCTCCTTGGTCACCTGAATGGCGTGTTCCAGGTGTGCCCCTTGTGTGAGCTGTGTGTGCCCTCCTGTTGTAGTTGAGTCTTGGTTGCTGTTTGCATATCAATGGCTGATTGGTTGTGAGGACTGGCTGGTGACTACAATGCAGGAGCTGTTGTGCAGGGGCTGACCCTATGGAGCAGGACTCACTTTAGTCAAGCTCTGGTGCTTGCCCAGTCTGCCTTTTGCATGTGTCAGTTTTGGAGATGGTTGAGTGGTGCTCTGGTGTCGTCAGAAACTGTCTACTGAGTGTGTTGGCTTTGGGGCCTCTTCAGAGAGGCTCTGTTACAGGCCAAGGTCAGCTGCTGCCTGAGCCCCATCCAGGGACACTTGATATGAACTACAAAGTGATCTGCATATGGTTGAAACTTCTGCTGGGCTTGGAGGTACCTCATAGAGGATAAGCTGTGAAATGAGGTCAACTGCCGCTAGTGCCAGGTTTGGGACTACTTAGCAAAAGATACAGGGCATGCTGAGGCCAGATGCTGTTTGGTTGAGTTTTGTGAACCTTTGAGAGATTTTAGGAAAGTCCATAGCATGAGATATATGCTTAATGTAGAGATTACATGCATAAAACATGCATATATGGTCAACTAATATGGGACAAAGGAGCCAAGACTCTTTGATGCAGAAAAGACAATTTCTTCAATAAATGGTGCTGGAAAAATTGGATATTCACATGAAGAAGAATGAAATTGGACCCCTTACAGCACTCACAAAAATTAACTTGAAATCGATTAAAGACTTAAATAAAAGACCTATAACTGTAAAGCTCCCAGAAAAAAACATGGAGAAAAATTTCCTTCACATTGGTCTTGGCAATATTTTTTTTTTCAATATAACACCAAAAGCACAAGCAACAAAAACAAAAATAAACAAGTGGGATAACATCAAACTAAAAAGCTTTTACAGCAAAATAAAGAACTAACAAAATGGAAAGGCAACCTATGGAATAGGAGAAAATATTTGCAAACCACAATCTGAAAAGGTGTTAATATCCCAAAAATATAAGAAAGGCATACAATTCAATAGCAAAAAGCCAAATAATCCAATTAAAAAATTACAAAGGACCTGATTGACATTTTCCCAAAGAAGATATTCAAATAGACAATTGGTGCTCAACATCATTAATTATAAGAAAAATGCAAATCAAAACAATAATGACAATGATATATTATCTCACACCTGTTAAAATAGCTGTCATTGAAAAGACCAGAGATAACCTTTGTTGGCAAGGATGTGAAGAAAAGGGACCTCTTCCTTGTGTACCTTTGGTGGGATTGTAATTTGGTGCTACCACTATGGAGGTTCTTTAAAAAAGTGAAACTAGAACTACCATATATGATCCAGCAATTCCACTTCTTGGTATATATCTTAAGGAAACAATCATTATCTAAAAGAGCTATCTGCACCCCCATGTTTACTGCAGCATTATTCACGATAGCCAAGACATGGAAATAACCTAAGTGTCCAATGACAGATGAATAAAGAAAATGTGGTATTATACACAATGGCATATTATTTAGTCATAAAAAGAAGAAAATCCTGCCATTTATGACAACATGAATGAACCTGGAGGACATTACGCTAAATGAAATGTCAGACAAAGACAAACACTGCATGATCTCATTTGTATATGGAATCTAAAAAAACAGAACTCATAGAAACAGAGCAGATTGGTGGTTGCCAGAGGCAGGGGTAGATGGTAGGGGAAATGTGTGAAGGTGGTCAAAAAGTACAAACTTTAAGATAAATAAGTCCTGGGAATGTAATGTACAGTATGTTGACTATAGTTAACAATACCGTATTATATATTTGAAAGTTGCTAAAAGAGTAAATCTTAAAAGTTCTCACGTCAAGAAAAAAAATGTAACTATATAAGATGATGGGTGTTAACTTCTTCTAATCATTTCAGAATATATACATATATCAAATCATTATGCTGTATACCTTAAACTTATAAAATGTTGATTATATCACAATGAAACTGGAAAAAATGGTGTCTTTTCTAAGAAGCACATAGTTGGTTTTAAAAATAGTCTGCTAATCTTAACCTTTTAACTTAGGTATTGAGCCTACTTACATTTCATGAAATTACTGATATATTTGGGTTTATATGTGCCATCCTATTGTTTTCCATTTAACTCACATTTATGTTCTTTTTATCCCTTTTTAAGTTCTTTTAAGCTAATCAAATATTTTATTAGTTATTCCATATTTTCCTTCCATTAACTTGTTAAACATTCTTGAACTTTTCTTTCATTGCTTAGTCTAGAGATTACATGCATACAACATATTATAGTCTGGTACACATTTTATTTTTATTATATCCCAAATAATTCTATTATCAGATAATAAGTTCCATTTAGTTTTTTCTTATTTTCTCTGCTATTATTGTTGTATATTTCTTTCCATGTTATAAATCCCATAGACATTTTTTTCTTATTTATGTTTTCAATAGTCAATAATTCATTTATATTTCCTACATATTTACCTGTTCTGCTCTTCATTCTTCTCTGAAGTTCAATTCTTCTATCTGGGTTGTTTTCCTTCAGCCGGAGGATCTTCCTTTTGTATTTCTTACAGTGAAAATCTAATGTAATAAATTCTCTCAACTTGCATTTATCTGGAAAGTATTTATTTCATCTTCCTCTTGGAGAATATTTTTGATGGGTACTGAATTCTAGGTTTGCAGGCTTTTAAATATTATCTATCTATTTATTTATTTACTTACTTATCTATTTATTTATTTGTTTGTCTGTTTGTTTATTTATTTATTTTTACTAGCGCTCAAAGGTGTCATTTCATTGCCTTCTGGCTTTTACAGCTTCTTTCGAAAATTCTGCTGTCAGTCTTTTTGTTACTCTTTTGAAGATAATGTGATTTATTTTCCTCCGGTTGCTCTTTATCTTCAATTTTCAGCAGTTTCACTATAATGTAGTCTAGGTATGATTTCCTTTGTATTTATCCTGCTTGCAATTTGTTGAAATTCTCAAATCTCTGAACAGTTGTCCACTAGTTTTGGGAAATTCTTGGCCGTTATCTTTTCAAAAGTGCTTCTATCCAATTTGCTCCTTTCTGTGATTCCAACTGTGTTCCGGGTGTATCTTTCTTTTTTATCTGTATATTTCAGGTTTGAAATTGTCAATTGTTCTATTTTCAATTGACTAACTGTATCTTCTGCTATATCCAATAAGTTCTTAACCCACACACTGAATTCTTAATTTCAGATATTTATTTTTCAATTCTAAGAATCTTTTCAATCCTTTTATAAAATCTGTTCTCTGCTGAAATTCTCAGTCTTTTCATCTATTTTTGTACATATTTTCCTCTATTATCTTGTACATATTAATCATGGATATTTTAAAGTCCTTGTTTGCTAACTTCACCTGTGGGTCTACTTTTAGTAAATGTATTTTACATTTATATATATATTTTTTACATATATATTAGTATAAAATAGAGTTGTAACGAGGGATATTCCTGCATTGCTCCTTTCCAGTTTCTTCATTAACTATAATGTAGGCTTTTAGGCAATATAGATATATTTTATCATGTTGAAAGGTACCCATTTTACCAAATACCTTTCATCATCTGTGAATAGAGACATATGATTTTTCTTTTTTTCCACTGATTTTTCTCTTTTGACCTATTAATATGTTGAGCTATATTACATTTCTTAACATCAAACCGTCCTTATATTTCTGGGAAAAAAATCACAGTTGGTAATGAGATATCATTATTTTAATATTCTCTTAATATATTGTTGAATTTGTGTCTAATATTTTATTTTCAATTTTTGCATTGGTATTTAAAAGTGAGGTTAGTCTTTAGTTTTAATTTTTTTCTGTGCTATATTTAATAGGTTTTGGCATCAATATCTTGAGCTTCATAAAACAAATCTTCATTTTTTCTATGTTCTATAACAATTTAAATAAAAGTGGTACCTGTTTCTTAAAATTTCTCAGAAAAGTGCATTTGAACTATGAAATGCTAACCATAGTGTGAAGGCAACCTCAAAAGCAGCAGTTAGATGGATAAAATAGATGAGCAACATGCACCTTGATGCAAGATAAAGAAAGCGTATGGGTAAAATGTAGGCCACATCACATGTGTGTAGGCTGGATGTGGTCCAAGGGGCAACCAACATGAAACCCTATAGAAAAAAGACAGGGACCATGTTTTGCATATGTTTGAATCCCCCACTCCATCCACGCCCAGCATGATGTTGTGGCATTGTGGTTCAGAGCATGGCTCTGAGATGGACAAATTCTCCTACTTACTGTATGACCTCAGGTAGATCAATTCTCTTCTCTGAGCCACTTTCCCCCCATTTTTCCAAAGACAATAAAATTTATCTTTAAAAGTTATCATGAGGACTAAATGAGATGAAACAGTGTATGTAAATTTCCTCACAAGGACTATGTTGGGGATACAGTAAACTATGCTCATTTTTATCACTGCGATTACTTAATGTTATTCCCAAGTGAAAATAATTTTCTTTGTGATTATAAAAGCAAGACATCTTCATTGTAATGGCAGCAAAGAATACAATCATTCTGTATATAGACAGGATGATTCTATATACAGTATTATAGCCTAAAATTTTCACGTAATAACATTGTGGTCATCATTTCACTGACAGTAGTTAACTAATGCAATTAGAGGAATCCTTCACCTTCCTGATAACATGAGTTCAATTTCAGTAGCCATAGGCCGTATCTGGGAATAGATGTCCATTGTGAACACAGCGCTGGCACTGTTGAAACTAGAAGTCAGGGAAGACATGAAAGAGGCCCATAGTGCAGACATCATCAAACCTTGTATACCTGAAAGAGAAGGGACATTTCCTAGACTTTCAGCTCTGTCCACACCAGGAGATGCCTTAGGCCTCCTAAGGAACTTTTCTATAAACTAAATTTTATCCTACAAAACATTCAAATTTTATTTGGAGTGAAATGCCATCAAGGCTGTAGGCAAGTGATGCTGTTCCTTGTGCCTCAGTGCCCTCATCTGTAAACTGGGTGTGAAAGTACTTACTACATAAGGCTTTTGTTAAGATTAAGACAATTTAAGTATATGGGTTAACACAATTCCCAATACAAAGCAAGCACTCAATAAATGTAAGTTATAAACATAACAATCTAGTATTATTACCTGAAAGGCCACCTTGCGGCAAGGACTTTGCTCTGTTGAGAGATTTCTGTGTGCCTTTGGGAGAGACTGAGGGTAAACAGAACCTGAACTGAGGGTCTGCATTAGCAAGCTCCCACCATATTCAGTGGGCTACTTGGTCCAGGCAGAGACTAGTCTCCGTGGATTTGCCTTCCTTCAGGTGCCCTACAGCCCACTCTCACTTGCAGCCCCGGGTACTCTAAGACAGATTCAGCTGGAAAAGCCAAACAACTTCCTTCCTGAACTGTGGAATGGTTAGTATTTCCTTCAGTTAGATTCCATCTATATCATATTTTATGGAACAGTCTCAACTTTTCTAGCCTATTGATCTCCAGAGCTAATATGAAATTGTTTTTTAACTATTTCCATGGATTTCAGGAAACAGATGAGATGAATGCACAGGCTCACTGTCATCTCACAGCGAAAGCCATCTCACTTTGGGTGAACTGCACACCTCATTGCCTATCCCATTGGATGTGAGCTCTTTGAGAGCAGGGCTAGGTTTCTGTCATCTCTGCACTCATGGCTTAGAACAATGTCTAGCACGGTGTGGAGCAAAGGCACGAGTTCAATTGGGGAAGTGAACAATGCAAATCCCAAGCACAAATGGTGCCTCTGAGAGCACATGCACTGCCAGTGTGAATGTGTGAGGAGTGAAGAGGAAGGAGGCCCAGCTCCTTCCCTCAGGGCAAGAAAGTTTCTTTCTACACAACTAACTTGTCCCACTGGACAGCCTACATTTCTACTCAGAAGAATGGGCTGACCGGTGGACAAGCCCTCACTTACAGCCCGAGGGCAGAGGCTCCAATGGGGACACAGATCATGGGGTTTCTATGGCCTTTGATGCAGGATCCATTTCTTACCTTTGGGCATTAGCTTCATCACCAGCATTGGGTAGGCAAGGGAGCTGCAACTAGTTCTGGTGCCACAGTACTTTTCACATTCAGAAGGTGTAACACATGCCACTTTTTCTGCAATGAGAGATACAGTCACACCAACACATTGGCCTTAGAGCTCTAAAATTTGAGACTAGGGAAAGGGAAGCAAATAGGAATTATAAATTCCTAATTTATTAAATTCTTGGTCTACTGGTGACTGCTCCAATTTATGATCCTACACACTCTTCAGGAGCTTAGGGTGGAAGCAAAAGCTAGGAGTTAGGCACTGAGGAACCAAATGAATTAATGCTTCTACCAATTTATGGTCTGACCCAAAGCAAGTACCCTGACCTTAAAAGCCTTTAATGATCCCAGCTACACGTTAGGAAAACAATCGGATTATTCATCCACATACTAATGCGTGTGAGCAACTCATAAACTTCCTCCTTTAGCCCTGACAGGTATGTTACTTTAAGAGTATTTGGGGAGAAATTTTGGACAAAAGGAAGTAAAGGGTGTGAGTGTGATATGCTCATCAAGAGCTTAAATACAGGATATAGTTAAAATGTAAGAAAAAAAACAAAAACAATAAATCAACATAGACTAGAATGAGGCAGGATACTGCCTAGGTTTATGGGTTAAGCAAGCTATTTTACTGGGGACAGCTATCTCGCTTAAGAAGCAGTTACCGATTATCTAGAAAAAGAATGTAATAACTCAAGGGGGTGGCTACTATGAATGTTTGTTTTCATTTGCCTATTCTCCTTTCCTCCTACTTTGAGTAACAGGACCTCAATCTGACTTGGTGTGGTTTGGGAAGGGCCCAAGAATAAGGCCTGGCCATTCTGGAAATTCCTTCTCCTTAGTCACAATGACTGGTCTGGTCTCTATCATTCAAGTGAGTTCCCTAGGATTCATCTGGGATTTCTGCGGGAACTACTGGGAAAGGAAACACTCATTCTGTGGGGGTTGTTGAGCTGGTGGGATAGAGGCCTGGTGCTGATGATGACAATCTGGCTACCAGACAAGGTTGACACCAGCTCAGAAGAAATAGGAGCTAATAGTTCACATCATTTTCAAATAAAAGCCAAAGTAATACAAAGACCTATACAGAAAACCAGATTTAGAGAATCACACCTTGGCAGTGTCTGGCCCCCAGCTCTGACCAGGAGAGAGACCCAGAATCTAGGGCCAGAAGCATTCAGGTTAATAGAAAAGCATATTCTTCCAGGAACATGGGCAGGTGCCCAGCTTTCATGATAAATGGCTTTCTGGCTTTGTACACTTGGCATGTGTAAATAGATCTGTGTGTGGCCATTTCTGAGGACTACAGACAAGTGGTTCTGGGCCCTTCACCATTCCAAGTGCTCTCTCCGTACATTCCATGAACTCCATTCACCTTCTAGTCAGAAGGCTAGAGGGAGTTTGGGTTCCTGAGGCCCACTCAAGCTAGAGGGGGAGCTATTTCTCATTCCTTTTCCCCATTCCCTTAGCAGCTTTTAGAATCCAAAACACATACAATCCTGCCCAGTTTTCTTCCTTAGCGAGCGCAGTGGTCCATGGTATGGAGTGGGGTTGGGGAGGCAGGGCTGTGAAGCCCAGGGGACTTTGGGGTCCTGGAGAGCACAAGGGCCTATTTTCTATTTAATGAGGAGGAACCACCCATGAGATCTAAGGGTGCTGCCTGACAGCCAAAGACCAAATGTGGGAATGTTGGAACATAGCAGTCCTTTCTGTTAAAAGTGGAAAGGAATTAGGATTAAAAAAAGAGGTATGTCTTGGGGACAGACTGAAGGATGAATTAGGGTTATAAATGTCTCCTGTACATGTTACTGAGCAACGAGAAGTGTTTTACATTCTGACTGGTTACAGCACTGCAGCAGAAGACTCACGAAAGTTGCCGGCTTTGCCTCAGTGGCTGCACCTATCAGAGTATGTGCTCCATAAAGGGTGAATATTCGAATAAACAAACCTGGTACCCTGAGAAACAGTACAGCTAGTAAAACTAGGTTGAAACAGGGATGAGATACATCTGCAGAATTATGATAGCCCATTAAGGAGAAAAGGGATGTTTCTATAGCATTTAATGGAAAGAATGTGGGCCTCAGAGTCAGATCTACTTTGGGGGTCATATCAAGCTCCTCCTTCGACAGGCCTCATCTGTCCAATGAGGCTACACAAACCCACCTCTGGGGCTGTGAGAGCAGCGATGGCATCTGGCAGACCCCCAGCACAGTGCCTAGTATGGTGCTTCCTGTGACAGAAGGGGAGGATCTCAACCTTCCTGTGGATTGTGCCTTACGCCATGGCAGAGACTGGGCCCCGGCTGCAGGGAGCATCAGTGGCTCTTTCCTGCCTGACCTTCTCTCTTGCCATCTACCTCCATGGTCTCTGCCAGACTTCTCAGCTGCATCCCTAACCCAAACCCATTGCTCCCAAGACAGCAATCTAGGGTACCTTGACACTAGTATACCATGGGAGACCTGACAACCCCAAATGTTCTCTAGATCTCTAAGACAGGAGAAGCTGATCAGGGTGAACACATCAGAATCAAGAATTTACCCGGGTACAGGATGCGGCTGATCATTCCTGGCATCACTATGCTGAACATGGACAGCAGCTTCAGGCACCCACAAAAGACACAGCCGCCCTTCACGTGAGATATGTTCTTCCCTGCCAGGCACCGCTGGACAGAAATCTGCCAAGGAAATACAGGTGGGTGAGGGGGGTGATGGCTTTATCTGAGTGTATAAAGCCCAGGCTGCTTCACAACAGATAGGACAATTATGACCTGCTGTGTTAGCCGGATGTGCCCTCTGGTGGATTTCTGCTAAGCTGTCCACCCCAATCATCCAAGCATCTCTGGGGCATTCGGGGCTAGAAGAGATGTGTGTGACCAATGAGCACGTTTTGCTCAGTGCACAGCTGCCTGAGGGGACAGGGATGGTGCACATGACCTTGGCCTCATTGCTAGCACTGCACACCAATCATTGCAGCACAGTGCTTGCAAGCTGCCCCCTGGCAAGGATGAGATTCTCTCTTAGAGGCTATGGCACATCTCTGCCAGGAAGGAGGAGGAGAGCTCTGTGACATCAATCAAAGCAAAGGTGGGTCCCTAGCAACAAATGAGTGGTTAGAACTGGGACCAACTTCATTCATCTAAATTGAAATGAATTAGTATAGACCTTTAAAACGCAAAAATCTCCTAAAAGATGTTTCATGACCCATTTCATGGGGCTCCTGCTGTAAGCGGCAGTGTGCACTCAGGCTGAACAGAATGGTACAGCTGGCAGGTGCACAAGCACTTAAGAAAAAACAGAAAGTCATGGTCCAGTGCATCAAAACAACACAGTATTATGTATGCACTAAAATTACATTCTTTAAGAACATTTAAACAATGTGCAAAAGTGCTCAAAGTGTGATTGATGGTAACTAAAAGGCACAGGGTACAACAACCATAGCATATACACCGTGACTCTATACCTAGGAAAAAAATCACAGGAATAAATCAACATGATAATAGTGGTTAGTCCTGGGATAGTAGAATTAACAGGCCGGATTTTCATTTTCTTCTCTATATTTTCTTTATTTTCCAAATGCATTATTTTAGTAATAGGAGGAAGAACCCCAAAGTGGGTCTACCTCATGCAACAGGTATTGCTTCTCAGGAAGTCTGGCATCCTGTTGCTGGTTCTCAGTGAACATGGCCTCTGTTGAGCAAGTTAGGGGCGGAGGGTGGCACGTAGCCAGGCTGCATTTCCTTGTCTGTGTTTAGCCCTGTGCACAGAAGAGATTGTCTCTCAGGGAAGAGAAGAAGCAGGGCAAGGGCATAGACTTATTCTGAGGAAAAACTGATGAAAAGGGCATTAAATTATTCCAACTAGAAATGTCCTAAGCACTTTCATATATTGTTATTTAGTACAAGAAAAGGATTATTGTTTAAAAATGATGGTGGGACAAAGGTCAATAATTTTCCTACTGTCAATTTGCCTTTTTTTAAATTCAAATTTCTTCTGAAATGATTTTCTTCACTAGTTACGGAGTTATATATTCTACTTCTATGTTTTAATTACTGTTCAAATTTTAACACAGATATAACTTCAAGTCTAAAGGAAATCAATATCCCCACCCTTCTGAATAATTTAAAGTCCATAGCCAGATTTAACTCCAAACTGTGGTCCAATATTTTAGTCTTGTTCTGTTTTACTTCCTATATTCATAATTATGATGTAATAAGTAGCCAATGCTGATTTGCTCAAATCAAAAAAGCCAGTACTTTAGATTTCCTCATGTGTCTGTCAACATCTTTGCTAACTATTCCTTCTTGCTCTTCAGTACTTCCTTTTTCTATATGTACATCTTTTAATCTTCTTTAGAGAAAGTAATGTCTTTATTTTACCCTTGGTTTTGACATGTTACTTAGAACATTGAGCATTTTACTCTACATTTAGGTTACATTTTTGCTACTAGGAAGTCTATTGTCAGTATAATTGTCTTCTTTGATAAATACAGGTAACTTTCACTCTCAGGAGACTTTCAAAATCTTCTCCTTGTCTTTGATGTTCTGAAATTTCATTATGATGTGACTTTGTGTGGATTTTTGAATTATCTCTGCTTGAGAATCATTGTGATTCCTGAATCTGATGATCCCTGCTGTTTCAACAATTGTAAAAATTCTCAGCATTTTCTCCTCAAATATTGCTTCTTTTCCCTCAAATATCCCTTTTCTTCTGGAACACCAATGAGATGTATTGTAACCCTCATTCTACCTTCCATGTTACTTTCTCTTTTACATTTTCCATTTTTTACGGTGATTTCTAGATAATTTCTTCAGTTTTTTCTTCCAGGTTACTATTTTTTCTTCCTTTAGCTGTGTTTAATCTGATGTTTTAACAGTAACTGAGTTTTACATTTCAATAAGTATATTTTTCATTTCTATGAGTTTGATTTTTCAAATCTGATCTTTTTCGATAGAATTGCATTAATGTTTTCAGTTCTACTGTTATTTCTTTAAACACTTATTTTGTATTTGGTTATCTAACACTTCAATTTTCTGAAATGTGAAGGTATTAGTTCTGCTGTTTCTTGCTCAAGGTGGTTTGATTCATCCAACCTTGAGCAAGAAACAGCAGAACTGTGGGGGCTCAGGCGGAGGAGACATTTATTTATGGGAATCCTGTACAACCTTAGTTAGAGTGCGTCCCTCCAGAGAGAACTTGCTGTTGCTTATGCCAGGCCAGTGAGTAACAAATTTTGAATGAGTTTATGTTCATTTCTTTCCATGGAGTTTTCCTGATCATACAAAGTAAATTTAAAACCCAAACACACAAGGAAGGCAAGCCTGCCATTATGAATTCTCAGAGGACACTGTTTTCCTCCTCCTAGAACTCAGGTTGAAGCACTTCTTTTTTTCAGTTGTTTCTCCTTGCTGGTGGTCAGATTTTTTCCCTTGTTCACCTTTTCACTGAGGTTACAACAGTGGAAAGAATCCAAGTTCTACATGGAGGGTTCACTCTGTACCACTCATGAACTCAAGACCTCTCACCTGTTCTCACCTGGCCATTTAAATATGAGCCTTTGAAAACCAAGCTTGGTAAATGCTGTCATGGCATTGTCCATGTCAATGTCAGCTTAGCTCTTTTTATTTTAATTCTGTTTTTGGAAAATCTCTAGAGATTTCCTTCCTTTCTTAAGAGCTCCTTTATGAATATAGGAAGACGTCTGTTATATTTTAAAAGGATCATACAATAAGTGACATTTTGTGTCTGGCTTCTTTTACTTAGGCTAATGTTTCCAAGATTTACCCAAGTTGTAGCATGTAGCAGTGCTTCATTCCTTTTTATGGCTGAATAATATTCCAATGCATGGAGATATATTTTGTTTATTTATTTATTAATTGATAGATATTTGGGTTGTTTCCATCTTTTGGCGATGGTGAATCATGCTGCTACGTGTGCCTCTTTTTTACTTCAGTCCCTTCCCTTGCTCTAGAAATGACCACTTTCATGACTATTTAATTCTTCCTTGCTTTTCTTTACAATTTTTTGATTTGTATACCTAACTAACATAACATAGCATCGGCTGTGCTAACCTTTACATAAACGTAGCCTTCGGGATCTAGCTTCTTTAACTGGCATCATGCTTTAAAGAGGTATCCACGGTACTATGGGTAGCTGCACTTCCTTTTTATTTCTACATTGCCTTTTTACTATATGAACATTTCACAATTTATTTAATGATATACCATTAAGGGAGAGCCAGGTAATTTTTAGAATAAGTTTGAGTCCTTAAAAAATCCAACTGAAATAGTAATTGGTCGCATTTAATTTATTGACTAAGTTAAGAGAACTGACTTATTTTTCACATCCAAACAACTGTGCTTTTTAGATAATGATAGGGAAGAAAAAAAATGAAAGCAGTTGGTGTGTTATAGATGGGGCTGTGGGAGAAATTTCTTTTAAACAGAATTTCATATAAAGTTATTTAGGCACTAAATAAAGATTGGAAAAGAAACTTGGCTACTGAGTGCATACAAGCCCACAGATACCTGTAGCTGCATCTAGTCTGGAATGCATCCAGGACCACCAGCACCCAATGCAGTCACTTCAAGTGCAATGTATCTAATTACCTGATCAGTGCACCAGTAGTACAAGGAGATGATGGAGATGCCAAAGACAATTCCAGGCCAGGGGAGGTCTCCCGTAATGGGATCTCGGAAGATATGGAAAGAATCCAGGCGAGGGAGGTAGCATTCTGGCTTGGCAGTCCAGTTTCCTTCATGGATTATGCTTGGCTTAGCATTTAAGTAACGACGCAGTAGCTCCTGGTATCCTCCCACTTCTTTAAAGGCTTAAAAACACCATAAAATTGATCAGTACCTTAAATTGTATGATAACACATGTCTAAAGAACCAAGATTGCAAAGTAAGACCCAATTTGATTAACTGAATCTAACATAAAAAGTGCAATGGACTGACAAATAGTAGAGACTGTATGTGCCTAAGAAAAGATACCATTTATTTCAAAGAGAAAGAAGAGTATAGTGGACATTGTGGCCATGTGCCCAGCAACCCCTGCTCCCGCTGCTGGCAGCAGAACCTTTCTTTCTAGCTGCATTCCATCCTATGTGGCTTAGATGGGCCTCATCAATCTGTCTACCATTCCAATCTGGTATGTAACTCAGGCCTGGCCAATGCTCCCTGTCCCCTGGTCAGTGACTGATGGAATGGACTTGAAACTCAATCTTGGCTAATCAGAATTGTCCCAGGATTCATTCTTCTTTTTAAGGAACCAAAAAAGTCTGCCTACTTTCTTTGGGGTTCTCAGCTAGTACGGCAGTTTGAAGCTCTTTTGTCTACCCAGTTCATGCAGAACTCCAGATCTAGCTATGCCTGAGGCAATGTACCCCAGGAATTTTTAGCTATGTTAACCAAGAGAGTACTTATTTGCTTATACTAGTTTTGAACTGAAGTGCTATCACAAGTTATCGAAAGAATCTTGACTAAAACAGAAATTAATATTTGCTTTCCTGCATTGCCAGCAAAACATTTATGAAACTTCATATTTGAAATTTGCTTCACAGCCTGTGACATTTCTCCCTCAATATTCTAAGTGGTGTAAAATCTTAACATTAAAGAAAAATATTTTCTAAAAGGCTCTAAAACACCCATAATTCCACATATCTAACTGAAAAACACTTTTATTTTGACATATTAAACCATGTTCTTTGATTTAGACTACATTTTTGAAGTAGGTTCAGAATCATCTGGAGTCAAGACTGGTCAACGAAAGGACACTGAGTGACTATGATTATCAATAATAAGACACCTCATAGCCTTTCTAAAAATGAATTTCATGTGCATTTTTTAAAAAGGTGAAATATAAAGCTACAAAGTTATTGGAAGAAAACAGGAGAATATCTTTATGAACTTGCGTTAGGAAATACATTCTTAAACAAGATACAAAAAGGAAAAGAAAGGCTAATAAATTTGACCTCAAAATTTAAAATTTATATGACTGAAACCAAATTAAAATTTTTTTAGACAGAAAGAAGAGATTTGCATCGTGTATAAATGACTCCTATTCACCAATAGCCAAGGAAAACTACTGGAAAGAAACATGGTAAGAATGTGAACAGGTAATTCACAAGAGAGGAAATACACATGGCCACTAAGTATATGAATAGATGCTCAGCCTCATCGGTGTCTGGAAACTTCGAATTAAAACAAAAATAAGATACTTTTCTTTCCTTCCCCTATTGGGCATATTTTTAAAAAGTCTTAAAATATTGTTAGCTGAGAGATTAGGAAACAGGGAACAGGAGATTCTCAAACATTGCTGAGAATATAAATTAATACAGTAGTCCTCTTTTATCTACAAGGGATACATTTTAACATCCTCAGTGGATGCTTGAAACCAGATAGCACCAAACCCTGTATATACTATGCTTTTTCCTATATGTACATACCTATGATAAAATTTAATTTATAAATTAGGCATAGTAAGTGATTTGTAACAATTACTATAATAAATTAGAATAATTATAATAATATACTCTAATAAAAATTATGTGAATGTGGTCTCTCTCTCTCAAAATATCTTATTGTTCTGTACATTTTCACTTAAAGGAAGCACTTTATGGCTTCTCTTGGCATATCCAAATTGCCAGTATCACTACTCTTGTATTTTGGGGCCATTATTAAGTAGAATAAAGGTAACTTGAATACAAGCACTACAATATGATGACAGTTGATCTGATAACTGAGATGGCTACTAAATGACTAAATGGCAGGTAGCTTATACAGTGTGATTCACTGAAAAAGGAATGATTCATGTCCCAGGTGGGATGAAGCGAGATTTTTATCACTACTCAGAATGATGTGCAATTTAAAACTTATGAATTTTTTATTTCTGGAATTTTCCATTTAATATCTTTGGACTGCAGTTAACTGCAGGTAACTGAAACTGCGGAAAGCGAAACCACAAAAAGCGGGGACTACTCTACAACCAATTTGGAGAGCAATTTGGGGTATTTCTTGACAAAGCTTATTTCAGTAATGTAATGTGTTTATTCCAGTAATGTAAGATTGTGTTAACATTCAAAATCAAGTCAATGTAATGCGCTGTGTAATTTACAGGATAAAGGAGAAAAATAATCATCTCAGTAGATATGGGAAAAAAACACCTGATATAATTCAAGGCCTATGATTAATGATCTTAGAAAACTAGGAATGGAAGGGAACTTTGATAGTATGATAAAGAGTATCTACAAAGAAATTGATAGCAAATATTTTATTTAATGGTGAAATATTCAAAGCTTTCCAAGACTGGGAATGAAGCAAGAATGTCTGCTGTCTCTACTTCTATTCAACACTATACTAAAGGTTTTGGCCAGTGTGATAACACAAGAAAAAGAAAAAAAAGGTATAAAGTTCAGAAAGGAAGGAAACAAAAAGATAACTTCTTGACCTGAGTGCTGCTTACCAGAGGGTGTTCACTTTACCCCAAGTTAAAAATCCCATATTTCATCTAGTCACACACTACTTTGGGTTGTGCACTTTTCAGTAAAAGGTTTATTACAAATCCAAAAACATAAAAGTTGTAATAGATCTCTATTCACTGACAGAGAAGTTTGCCTATGATATAGTACCAGAGATAGAAAAACAGGTACAAAATTTTGTTTTGATTCTATTAATACATAT